CTGATCACGACGACAGATTTTAATGCGGCGTATGATTTGATTGTGAAGACGGAAAAGAGCTTGGATGATTTGCAGGCAACCAAGAAGGAGGATCGAGCGACGAAAGACCCGCGACCCGCGGCCAGCACCGGGCCGAGCGGGAAGAGTTTTGGATTCGGGGGAAAGAGGTACGAGAAGGGTTCTTCGAGTGCGCCGCCGCCTAAGAGGAGTAAGTCGAGGCCGTCTCCGTCGGCCGCCGCTAGCAACTCGAACAGAACGAGGAGCCACCCGCAATGTGTACAGTGTGGTAGGCATCACCCGGGCGAGTGTTGGCTCGCCCAAGGCTTATGTTTGGGTTGTGGTCAGCCAGGGCATTTCAGGAGGCATTGCCCGACAAACCCTAGCAGCGAGCCTGTTTTACTTAGAGCTCCGGATCAGCCTGCCGCATCACATCCAGCACGGAGTCAGCAGTCTACGGCCGCAAATAATCAGCAGAGAGCACGTCCGCAGCAGTCAGGCCGGGCACCAACGCGTACCTACGCCGGTGCTTCGGCAAGCTCGTGGTGGGAGTAAGAGATGATTTTAATTTTATCTGAACAATTTCATTTCAGATTTTAAAACTCATTGCATATCATTTTTCTTAAATTTCAAAACTTATATCATATTATATTTCCAAAATTCACTTTGGCCCTAACACTCTTATTTTTGTATTTTCATACAAAGTATTTATATATATTTATATTTAGAAAATTCTCTCTAATAATATTTTTGGTAAGCATTAATATTTTGAATAAAATTTTAAAAGTATAAAATAATTTTATAAAACTAAAATAAACATTGTTGTACGATAGCCTTTTTAAAATATCGAATATATGTCTAAAGTTGTTGCCAAATAGAGTCAGAGTTAATTTAGGATCCGTTTAGTATACGGAATTGACGGAATTGGAATTAAAAATTTTATGGGATTCAGTTCCATAGAATTGACCCCACCTATTTGAATTCATTTTTTGCACTATCAATTCCAAATCCACATAATATTTGTGCTACCAACCCCAGATATGAAATTGAAACCCACAATACTAATTTCATAGTTTGAACTTGATATATTTTGAATAACTCAAATGAAACCTTTCTAAATAAGACAAAGAAAGCAAAGAAACAAAAAAGCAACATTTTTAGCTTTGTTTGGAAACAGTGTTTTTAATTAACGTTAGCGTTTTGGATAAAATTTTGACGGTGCAGATTAATTCTGAAAACGATAACGCTAAAGACTACCGTCGGATAACTTTTTCAAAACGCTAACACTAATATCTGACGCTGATGCCAAACGGGGCTAAAATCACGGACTAGAAATGATTTTATTAACTTCTACGGGCCTAAAAAAAGAACGTACGTACAATCACAGAAACGCGCTTCTTCTATTAATGGATCGGTAGGCGAGTTGGCAATTGGGTAATGTTTGAATTTTTTTAGGATCCGTCTAATTAGAAGATGGAAATGTTTGAATTTTTAAGGATCCCTTCGGAAATATGGAAAGGGGGGCTTTTTGAAAATAAATTCTCGAAAATAAATTTTGTCCCATTGGTGTAAAATTTGAATTGGTGTAAAATTTAAAAATTAAAATGATCAATTTTTTCCGTTATAATATAATGAATGAACGGCAAGGTTCCCATGACATTGTCCGGCAATGTCATGGAATGACCCGGGAGCACTCCGGTGTCTTGTTCGTAAAATTGACAGTTTCTATATCTCTAACCTCTCCACTAAATTTACCACCCTGCTCCGATCCGAACATACACCCAACCTCCTTCAATTGCACCCTAAAAGAGAAAGGCTATATGAATAATGCATCTACCCTTTTAAAAAAATGATTATTGGAGGCGCGTGGGTATTCCAAATCGGGACCACCGCCACCATAGGCCCCGAAGCCCATGCCCTTCCGTTGGAATAAAGTAAAGTGCAAGCACGCGATATTCCTGAGCCACGCCGGCACGTGGCGGCGAGTGATAAATCCCTACGATCCGAAGACTTTTATGTTAATTATTACGGAGTAACTAACTACTCGTAATTAAACAAAGCCAAAACGCTAATTTCCCATTTTACCCTCTCCGTCGGTTAGCGCAGCTTTTCTCCGGCGCATATGAATATGAATTGAATGAAAGTGACAATTTTTTGACTCCTTACCAAACCCGAACTCTCTCTCCCACAGTTATTAGATTTGAGATTTGAGACTGCATTTATAAATGTAACTTCTTCTTTTTTCCCCCTTCTTTCTTTATGTGTAAATTCTCTGTTTTCTGAGCTGCGAATCCTGGCCGGGGCTCTGTTTGTTTCAGTTTCACCTGTTTCAAGAAGCTCATATTGGACCTCAAAGGTCAATATTCGGTGTTTGAAGCTCTAATACTTCGCAAAAGTTTTGATTTTTACTGTCAAATGCCATTAAATGCGCTCTCCTAGACAGTGATAAATGCTCGCTCGTCGTCCTGCTCAGAACGCGCATTTTGCTTTAATTTCCTTTGAAATTTCATTCGGAATTTGGTTGATGTTTGAATTTGTTCATTGCACAAAATTCTAAATTTAGCTTCAATGTCTTATGAAGCTACTTCATTTTTAGCCGGAGTTGCTTAGGTTTGAAGCATTGGTCGCCATTAAACAAAGTTACCCCTTTTTGGTTCACACTGTACGTTATGATTTTTCAATTTTTTTTAAAAACTTCCTGTTGAAGCATTTGATTTCAAAGGGCAATGGGTTTGTTTGATCACAACTAACCCCTTAATTAAGGGGTCTGAGGTGCTAATTAGTTACCCAATATAAATGCTTTCTATAGTTATTAGGTATGTTAGCTGATTAATATGCTGTCTTGATCTGGTTTATGTCCACTCCCAACTACCGGGTGTCTAAATCTGGTTTAATGTCTTTCCCTTTTTTTCTCTCAAATTTATATTTTTTATTTGGGCAGGAGAATGGAATTGTGAGAAGCTCGGCTCGTTGTTTTGAATTTTTTGGTTAAGATTTTGAATCTCTTGAGCTAGAATGTTGCATTTGGTATGATCTTGGTGCGTTAACAGACGAGAAGGTATAAGTGGGGTGGGGGGTACAGATGGGGGCTGTTGGGGGAGAAGAGTTCATGAATTGGGACAAAGTGCAAGGGACCACTCTTGGAGGAGATGAAAAGATCTTGGTGTTGGTGAGGTTGAGACCTTTGAGTGAAAAGGAGGTTTCAAGGAATGAAGTTTCAGATTGGGAATGCATCAACGAAAACACCATTTTGTATAGGAATAGTCTCCAGGAGCGCTCTGGACTTCCAAGTGCTTATACATTTGGTAAGGAAATTCCCTTGCTCGTTCCTTTTTTAATTCAAGCGTCATATGGTGTAAGACACTAGATGTTGGTTGATGAAGTTTGTCTGAGGTTTGGGTCTGCATATTTTTTAACTTAAGGTGCTAAAATGCCATTTTAATACAGATAGAGTCTTTAGGGGTGACTGCTTAACAAGAGAAGTGTATGAAGGAGGAACAAAGGACATTGCGCTTTCAGTTGTGAAGGGCATTAACTGTAAGTGTTTTTTCATGCCTTTTCTCAGACTTTTTGTCCCATGGATCCAGAGGAAATTCACTACTTCCGGTACTAAATTTTTGTGCAGCAACCATTTTTGCATATGGACAAACCAGCAGTGGAAAGACATACACCATGAATGGAATAACCGAGTACACAGTGGCCGATATTTATGATTACATGCATAAGGCATCACGACTCTTTTTGGGATTGCATTTTATATTTGTTATTCTGATATGGCAATTGTATTAACTGAAGTTATTTGTGTAAACCAGCATGAAGAAAGAGCATTTGTTTTGAAATTCTCTGCAATGGAAATCTATAATGAAGTGGTTAGAGACCTCCTCAGCTCAGATACTTCCCCTCTAAGACTGCTTGATGATCCAGAGGTAAGTTTGGATTTTTCTCTGTAAGATATTGGTTTTTACAGTGTTTCCGTACCTTTTTCAATGGTCCTTTTTGCTTCCCCAGAAAGGGACTATAATTGAAAAACTCATAGAAGAAACTTTGAGGGATTGGAATCATCTCAAGGAACTCCTATCCATATGTGAAGGTTGTTGCGGCTTTTTCAACTTCACCATTCTGTTGCACATTCGTGATTTAGCACAGCAAATTCCATATTCATATTTTGTGTGTTTTTGGTGCCTTTTGCAGCTCAGCGAAAAATCGGAGAGACTTACTTGAACGATTCAAGTTCTAGATCTCACCAAATTCTTAGACTGGTATGTGACTCTGTGTTCTTTTGTGGTGAATTCTTTCAATTTTTTACTGGGCTGAGTTATTGTTTTGTCTGGTGGTTTCCTCAGATTATTGAAAGCTCTGCTCGTGAGTTTATTGGGAAGGGAAACAAAACTACTCTTTCAGCCAGTGTGGTACATGTCACTTTGTTTGGTTTAGGGTGCTTTTTTATTCATTCTGTGGCCATTATCAAACAACGAAAATCAATAAATGTGGTATATTCCATAACTTTTACGTTCAGAATTTTGTTGATCTTGCTGGAAGTGAGCGCGCTTCTCAGGCATTATCAGTTGGTCAAAGACTTAAAGAGGGCTGCCATATAAACCGTAGTTTACTGACTCTGGGAACTGTGATTCGGAAGCTAAGGTTCATCAAGTTTTTACCAAATATATGTGCCTTCCATATGCATCTTGAATTCTCTTTTGTTGGAGTGTTTATCAGTCTGGAATCTAGCCCATGTAATCTCTTGTAGTTTTCTTTAGACACTGACACTAAGGTATCGTCCATGTTTTGCCCGAAGAGCGTCAAGAATATGTCCTCGAAGGCCACTTCACAGTCTAAGGAGATTTTTTTTCGTTCTATTTAAGCAAATCACTAATGGCGCTATTATGTAGGCATATTTCTATGCTAACTGGTTTATAAATGCTCTTTCAATCTTACTTTTTAATTTTTATCTACCCTTTTTCTTGACAATCAAGGTGTCATGTTGTGACCTTGATTGGGACACACGGCATTGTAACATCATTACTTTGACATTTCACAGCAAAGGAAGAAATGGCCATGTAAATTATAGAGATTCAAAGTTAACACGTATTTTGCAACCTGCCTTGGGGGGAAATGCTAGAACTGCTATAATATGCACCTTAAGCCCCGCAAGGAGCCATGTCGAGCAATCTAGGAATACTCTCTTGTTTGCTTGTTGTGCAAAGGAGGTGTCTACTAATGCACAAGTCAATGTAGTAATGTCTGACAAGGCTTTGGTGAAGCATTTACAGAAAGAGTTGGCTAGATTGGAGAGTGAACTGAGAGTTCCAGGGACTTGCTGTGATCATGTGGCGTTGCTTAGGAAGAAAGATATGCAGATTGAGAAGGTGATGCTTCTCTTCTCTTCAGTATCTTTGCTCTTCATTGAAATCAACTCTAATATCCTAGGTGTGCCATTCATGCCTGCAGTTGGAAAAAGAGGTCAAGGAACGAACGAAAGAACGTGATCTTGCACTATCACGTGTTGAGGATTTGCTGCAAATGAAAGAAAATTTTCAGGGTTCCAACCAAAAGGTTTGAAATATCGTTTATTTAATTAAAAATGTCCTCTGGACCTTAGTCCTTATTAGGGAGTATAAGGCACAATTGACCAAATTACACAAACTAAATGAATATGTTTATAAAATAAATATGAACACAATATTTATTAGAGGAAAACCATGAAAAAAAACAATAAGAATTTCATTTAACAATGTTCTGTAAAATGGGTCATTGTTTCCTTTTAAAAGTTGTGAATAAGGACGAAGGAAGTACTTTTTATAAGATGGATTGCAAAAATTTCTCAATGTGCGGTTTCTTTCTTTCCACTCATTGTTTTTGTTGTAGTTATATAGTTTTTCCTTCTTCAGGTGCAGAGAGAACTTAGTCATCCTTCTGAATCTGTGAACAAGAAGACTTTTAATGAACCCTCGGTTTCTGGTTCAGAGAATGAACAAAGTTTTCTCTCATCTGATCTGATTCAAAGAGAGGAATCTTCTTTGAGGAGTGAAGATGAAGTTTCCGATGAGCATTGCAAGGAAGTTCACTGTATTGAAGTGCATGGTTCTGGCACAAATAATACTCCTGATTCTTCTGGTTTGCTCAACAATGAGAACATGGAGAGGATTTCAGTATCACCAACTATCACACATGTCACTAACGCTCTGGAGTTATCATCAACCTCTTCTGTGCAATCAAGTGGTGCCGGAAATTATTTCGTCCCAGAAGCCGTAGAAGAGCAGAAAATGCAAAGCATGCATGAAACTGCAGAATCTGCTGTCAGACCTTTCCCTGAGAGATCACCTCAGTGGAACATACTGCACAATATGATAGATTCCAGAAGCCTAAAGCTAACCAGAAGCAGGAGCTGTAGAGCTAACATAATGGGTGGCTCTATCTCTTCACTAAACTCTGAGGTAGAAGAACCAAGTTGTGAGACTACACCACCCAATGGTTTGGAGAAAGATTTTCCTGGGAGACCTCAAGGCTTCCACAGAAAACATTGGAAACTTCCACCAATGATATATGGAGCAGAAAATCCTAAACTCTCAAGAAACAATTCCCAGTCTTCCTTTGGTAGTGCTTTCGTAGACGAACTCAACGGTAGGAGCAATGCACCAGAGGATGGAGAAATTCCAAGCGTTGACACTTTCGTGGCTGGTCTCAAGGAGATGGCTAAATTTCATTATGACAATCATCAGGTCCATTACTTTGCAAGTACATAGTGTTTGTGCAGGTTTTTCATCTTACGTCCATTTTTTCTAATGTGAAGTGTTGGTTATTTGCTTGATAGGTTGAAGATGCAGATTTTAGGGACAATAATTCCCATAGGAATGCGAACGATGTAGTAGGACTGGATCCACTTGGAACTCCAAATTGGCCTTCTGAATTTGAAAGGTTGCGAAATTCGATAATTGAGCTTTGGCAGAGATGCAACATATCATTAATCCACAGGACATATTTCTTCTTGCTCTTTAAAGGTGACACGACTGACTCTATTTATATGGAGGTAGAGGTTCGAAGGCTTTCCTATCTCAATGGCTCATTTGCTAAGGGAAATCCAGCCATTCAAGGTGGCCAAAGACTCACCCTTGCATCAAGGTATTCACATTGTATCTCTATTCAGTTTGAAAAATGACAAAATCACCCCAAAATGAAAAATGGAATGATGAATCGCATTTAAATCGACCCAAAATAAAAAATCGCCCAAAAGGACTCACTCTGTACCGTTCATTTCATAATAAGATTGATCGATTGAATGAGAGGAATCTCACAGTCTCTGCCTTCGCCGGTTTTGCCGCCGCCTTTGTTCATGTCGTCGCTCTCGTTTCCACCGCGTCCACCCTTTCTAGTGTCATTGTCGCCGTTGCTTCCACCACCATTGATGTTCCCATTTCTTTGGTTGGCCTTTTCCCCATTGTTCACAACAGCGATGCTGCCGCCGCCGGGTCCATCATCATCACTAGTGGCTTTTTCAAGAGATTCGTTGCCTACATCCTCTCCGCTCTTCTTGACCATCACAGTTCTGACTTTGCCGCCATCGCATTCTGCCAACACATGATCGAGCTTGTGCTCGATCCTGCCTATAGCCTTGTCCATGTTGGTTAACATTTTAGAGTTGGATAGGTGGATAGTATATTTCAATTTCAAGCTCTCAAACATTGGTCTCATCCCATTTTATGGAGAACCTTAAAAAATTAGTGTTGAAACCAAAAAGGTTGTCGAGGGTTTTGAAAACAAAAAGAGAGTTGAAAACATTTGGGAGGGGATGTCTAGGACCGACTACTGGTCGGAGCTGCAGATATTATAGTTCATTTGGTGGGGTTGTCTCTTCTGTGTCCAAAAATGAGATGAGGCCAACGTTTGAGAGCATGAAATCAAAATATACTCTTCACCAATCCAACTCTGAAATGTTAACCATCATCGACAAGGTTATAGGCAAGATCGAGCACAAGCTAAATCATATGTTGGCAAAACTCGGCAGTGGCAAGGATCACGAATTGTGATGGCCGAAAAGAGCGTAGAAGCTGCAGGCAACAGATCTCCTTAGAAAACCACTACTCATGATGGACTTGGCGGTGACAACATCGCTATAGTGAACAATGAGGAAAAAGGCCTACGAAACAAAAGAAAACAACAATGCTGGTGGATGCAATGACAATGGAAAGGATAGAGGCGGTGGAAACAACGGAGGCGGCAATAACTATAGGAATGGTGGCGGCAAAAAGTTAAAGACGAAGGCGGCAACGGTGGAAATGACAGCGGAAACGACGGAGGCGGAGACTGTAGAATTCCTCAATTCAGTTGATCAATCTCATTATTAAATGAATGGTATTGGGTGATTCCTTTTGAGTGATTTTTCATTTTGGAGGGATTTACATATTAAGTTTCATTCCATTTTCCTTTTGGGATGATTTTGTCATTTTTCATTCCTATTATGTTTGTACATATAGCTTTGGGAAAAAGATTAAAGTAGGATTAAAACATTAAAAATATAACAAAACAGGAGTTCCATGTTTTTATTCTCGAAATAGGAGTTAAAATGCATATACATCATGATCGTATACGTTACCAAAAAGTGTTGTAAAATGTCCTTATACAGTGCCACATTAACATAGTGCAAATTCCAATTTTGAGGATAAAAACATAGAGCTCTTATTTTGATAATTCTCTATGTTTTATTCCTATATAGGGTGATTTCTTTATAACTTTGAGGCTAACCTCACATTTAAAAATTAAAATTACGAGTGAATAAAGGTGAGGTAAACCTTAGAATCATTTTTTTAAGGGTCTTGTCGTTTTGAAGTACGTTAACAATTGATGTTCCATGGTCCTTGTTGGAGGAACAGCCTCAAATCAGTTCGCCGCGAGCGGGGGATGCTAAGCAGACTAATCAATAAAAGGTATACGGAGAATGAAAGGGACGAGCTGTACCAAAAATGGGGTATAGCCTTGAAGGCGAAACGGAGGAGGCAGAAACTAGTCAACAACTTATGGTGCAATGCGGATTTGAATCATGTGAGAGAGAGTGCTGATGTTGTGGCAAAGCTGATTGGGTTTGCAGAGCACGGAGGAGACGCCCCCAAGGAGATGTTTGGGCTTAGCTTTACTCCGCGTGTGAGCCGGAGATCCTTTGGTTGGAGGATCAACAGTGTGGCATCATCCCTCATCTGAGTGCCACTCTGGTTAGCCTCTTTCTTAATAGCTCATTGGTGGTTGAATCTGCATTCTAGCCGGGGGTTTCTTGAAAACAACCTTTCTACTTCTCTACTGTCGAATAGAGGTAAAGTTTGCGTAAAAACACCATATCCATACCTTACTTTCGCGGGACTTTACTGGGTTTGTGGTTAAAAATGATTGAATCTGCAATGAATTGGTTGTTTAGAAGTTAGAATAGCATAATACTTTCTGTATTTTCATTCTTGGAACAATGGTATTCAACTTTAGGGATCACCCAGAAATGGTTTACTTTAATACTTCGCATCCAATAACAAATATATCTAGCAATTTCATAGACACGGACGCGGTGTGTATAGAGACATTACTCGTATTTGAAGGGAAGATACATTTTTTTGGAGTAAATTGAGACATTTTATTGATACGGAGTATGATTTTGTACATTTGGTTGTAATTGTGAAAGTACCTTGTACATATATAAAATTTTATTTTATTTCTTATCAATTGTCCCAAAAAATGGGGTCCTGTTCCGTTTTATGCTATGTTTGCTTCCCGGAATTAAGAAGAAAAAGAAAGCTTCTTTTTTTCATTTTTCTCGTCATATTGAAAAAAAAAATTGCATTCTTCTTTTTTATAACCCCCCNCTACCATTCTTGCTCAATTACATGTCTTGGACCACAAGTTCAAGCTCCCTTTTTCTGTTTCTAGGATATGAAATCTCTTGAATTTAACACATAGGATTTGGAAAAAAAAGAAAATATTTGCTTTATATTATTATTTGTTTTTGAATAAGTTTATACTTTGGTATGTATAGTATAGAATTTTGTAAAAGCGAAATTGCTTTCGCATTGATCAAGGCCAAATATAAACTATAAATGTAACTAAATCAGACCTAATTACATAGACTAATTGTATCACGCTTGGTCAAATAACATAAAACAAGTACAACGATATATATGTTAATAATATCTACGCTATCACTCTCCTTGAAGTTGGCACATTAAGATCACGAATGCCTAACTTGGACACAAGACAAGAAAACAAAGGTCCAGATAGAATCTTAGTAAATAGATTAGCAAGTTGTAGACGAGTAGGAACATAAGTCGTGATAATCTCTCATCACGTGACATATTCATGAGCAATACGACAATTAATGTCAATATTTTTCATATGTTTGTTAAATATCGGATTCACAGTGATATACAAAGAGGACTTATTATCACAATAAAATCGGGGTGTGACGACTTGTGGAACACCAAAAATAATTGAATAACAATATTACTATGAGCAAAAAAATTACGTACCTCCTCTGTCCCTTTTTAAAGTATATGTTTTAGTTTTATCTAAACTTCTTTTCGATTCAACTATGAAAATTGTCATAAAATTTAAAAATAAAATTTACATATTTAAAAATTATATCAAAAACTTTTCAAAATACGAAGTGACATGACTAGGGGCTGACGCACTTGAATGGAGTTGGGAGCATTCGGGCATATGCCCTACTAGTACTTTGTAATAAGGTAGAAAAAATTTAAAAATTTTATGTGTACATCCCCGAACAAAAAATAATGTGACTCCATCTAATTTGGTCATATTTTAATTTTTTGTTTAATTTTTTTGGAAAGTGTATTTTATTACATATAATTAATTCTTTATCAAATAAAATTTCACAATGCCTAAAAGTTATTATTTTTTTCATTTCATATATATAGCATATCAAAAAAAATCCTCCTCGGACACCATATGACAACATTTTTTATCAAATTCTGAATCCGCCACTACATATACATATGACAACATTTTTTATCAAATGAATAACAAAATTTAGTTCAAAAAAAGTAAATAACATTTGATTCTGATATATTCACTTCATCTATTATTTTCTTTCTCATTTTCCATTTTGGGCCGTTCAAAAACTTCCTTTTTGTTTTTTTGACAAATTTTTTTAATGAATGTGACATTATACCTCAGTGTTTATCTACATGATTTATTTTATTTAATCATATCATGGACAATATATGAAATGCCTTTACACTTTTAATTTTTCTAAATCTTTATGTGAAATCAAATTGAGAATGAAATTTTTGAACGGAGAAAGTAATAAAAAAGCAATAACAACAAAATTAAAATGCATTTAAAAAACAATATAGAGTATTAAAATGAAGAGCAAAACTTAGGTATCCCAAGCACATCCGCTGACCAGATATGGCGTCCCATCGAAAGTGGAGCCAAATTCGTCGTCTCCCGCGAATTCCTCCGCGCGTTGCTTCAGAGCCCGGAGCATCACCTGAGGATCGTGTTGCATTACTCGCAGCACATCCGCGCAAGACTGGCCGGAGACGGCGCGCGTCACGCTGAAGCCGTGCGCGCCGCCGTCGGTCACCCGCACTTCACTCGGGCGGCCAAACAGGTTGTGGATCCCGCCCATGGCTTCCTCGTAGGCCCCACCCAAGAACATCCCCAGATAATATCCTTCCCCGGCGCCGGCGCCACCTCTGAGTTCGTGGAGCGGCAACGTTGACTCCCCGCCGATGAACTTATTGATCTTCCCGTCGCTGTCGCATGTCAAGTCCGACAACACTCCTCTCACTCCGGGACGTTCGTTGAGCCGGTGAATGGGGACGATGGGGAACAGCTGTCCGATCGCCCAATAGTCTGGAATTGAAGTGAAGATGGAGAGATTGACGTGATATGTGGCGGCCGGAATATGATCGGGAGAAGGTGGTCCGGCGGCGGCTTTGGCCACCAAATCATAAACCCCGTCCACGGCGGCCATTTGTTCCATTCTCAGGCCGCCATTCTTGAACTGCTCAACACACCTCTGTTTCAGCTGGTCGGCGTAGATGACACAAGCGCCAAAATCGCCGCGAATTGCGGCTGCAGAGAGTTTCTGGTACTCTTCCCGCCAATCCTTGTCAAGAAGGTCAACGCATGACTGAATGTGAGCCTTTAGATTTGACGAGTCGCCGTTACTCTCGCCGGCGGGCGTGGCGGAGACGGCTTCGAAAATTAGAATTGAGTGATGAGACACAATTGCCCTTCCGCTCTCACTGCAAATAACAGGGTGGTTGACGCCCTTACCGTCGCAGACTGACCGGACGGCGTTAACAACGGCAGATGCATATTCCGTTAGCCCATACCCGACGGAAACGTCGGAGTCGGTTGATTTCGAACCGTCGTAATCGATCCCGAGCCCACCTCCGACGTCGATGACTCTCATGGAGGCGCCGAGACGGACTAACTCGCAGTAAATATGAGCGGCCTCAGAAACGCCGTCGGAGAGCAACGCCGTCGACGGAATCTGAGATCCAATGTGGAAATGCAGCAATTGAAGACAATCGAGAATTTCGAAGTCTCGAAGTTTCTTCACTACCCGCAAGATCTGAGCGGTGGTCAGGCCGAATTTGCCTTTCTCGCCGGAAGCGGGCCCGAAATAGCCGGATTGCTTGGTTCTGAGCTTCGCCCGGATCCCGATCACCGGCCGGACGCACATTCTCCGGCTGATTCGGATCACGAGGTCGATCTCCTCCTCTTTTTCGAGAACGATCACGGCGTTGAACCGGAGCTTCCTTGCGACCAGAGCGAGGGAAATGTACTGTTCATCTTTGTACCCGTTGCATATCAGGAAGGCCTCCGGACTTCCCTTGCACAGAGAGGTCATTGCGAGTAGAAGTTCAGGTTTCGACCCGGATTCAAGCCCGAACCGGAACTTTGACCCGAATTTGACGATGTCATCCACCACAAACTTGTCCTGGTTGCACTTCACGGGATACACTCCCTGGTAATGGGACGTGTACCCCTGGGAGTGCACGGCTGCATCGAAAGCCGATTGTAGAGACTCGAGACGGTTCTTCAGCACGTCCGGGAATCGGACGGTCACCGGGAGAGGCAACCCGAGATCCGAAACTTTGTTCAGGACCTCGAGAAGGTCGATCTCTCGGTGGGAAACAGTGTCCGTCCCATGAGGACGGACACAAATGCTGCCGGATGAATTGACTGTTAGGTATGGAGCACCCCAGCTATCGATCCGATAAAGCTCGGACGAGAGCGCAGATGACCATTTCACCGAGGCGGGCGGAGATGCGAATGCGGCTTGTGAGTAGGGAACAGGCATACTTGAATTGGCTAGAATGGATGGGGGAAGAATATGAATGAAGGTGATGAGGAAGAGAGATAGTGAATGAGAATTGCATGTTGAGGGTGGTGGCTTTATATAGTGGTAGCTGTCAAAAAAGTGGGTGAATGAAAGCAACCCCAAAAATGCGGAATCAAGACGACTCACGGCGGCGAAGCGGACTCGAGTTTGAGTTTTACCAAAATTTTGCATGGCGACCAGCTTTCCACTTTGAATAAATTTAAGTGTTTGTCAAAGTGGAGGCTGCTTAGTCTTACTAGTCTCCTCTCTTTAATTATATCAATTTTAAATAATTAAAATTCAAATGTAAATTGGTAAGATACCAACTATTATGATTATTATTATTATTATTCACTTATGGTCTGTTTGGGAATAACGTTAGAATTTAACGTCAGTATTTTGGATAAAATTTTAACGTAACACATTACTTTGAAAACGCTAACGTTAAACGTTGCCCGTAAAATCGTAGATAGCTTTTTCAAAACGCTAACGATAATCTCTAACGCAATTTCCAAACATGCTCTCACACTACCTCACCAGCCGGGAGAAGAGAGATAGGGAGGGTGTGGTTGCCGTCCTTGCATGTCGGACATGAAAAAGAAAAGAAGGAAGAAGAAGCCCGGAGAGCTTCTCCCGTTCATCCCGTTCCCTGGAAGAGAGGGACGCTGTTCTTGCGGGATACCACTTGCCAAATCACTTTGCTATCACATACCCCATGGTGTTATACCAACAATAACATCAGTTATTTAATTTCGTAGTATTAACATAAAATCATCCATTCTTTCTTTCTACCTCCTTCGTCCCAATTTAAATTGTCTGCTTCGGTTTACGAAGTTAGATTGAAGTTATTTTCAATTTATTTAAATGAAAATTGGTGTAGAACTAAAAAATTCAATTACATATTTAAAAACTAAATCAAAAGATATACAAAACTAGTCGTAACAAGACTATATTATTTTATCAAATGTCTAACGAAAATAGGGAAAAGATTGAATGAAATTTGACCCAGTGAATAATAAACAATAAATTCAAATTGGGACGGAGGGAATAATATGTATATACTCCGTATAAAAAATTCTTGAAAATACGTATCATAATTTGACGGGATATTATTTTATTTATGTTTATTGGCTAAACAATAAAATTTGATGGCGGGCAAAAAAAATGATGGCGAAGGAAAAACCGTTAAAATAATCTACTCCATAATAGTACAAGGCCAGATCGGTTTTAGAATATCGTTAGAAGTTAACGTTAACATTTTGAAAATGTAATCTACGAGTAATAAAAAAAATGTTATTCCCAAATGGGCTACGCAAACGGGTGATTTACCATAAGTCAACTCTCTCTATCCTAATCCCTAAGTGAACAGCCTTTACGAAATTGAGTCGTGGACTAGTTTTTTTTACATGGCTATATTGATATCCTAATCCCTAAATAAACCCATCCATCAACGACGTAACAGAATTAGCAATCTCGCCGTGATGGGAACCGTCAGTCATATCTCCAAAATTAGTAAGAGATATATTCAAAAGGGATGTGATACACACGCATCACTAAACTTAGACTACCTGGGAATTAGATGAAAATACAAAAATAATTTTTATAGATTTTTCCGGCAAAATATTTCAAAAAAATGATTTATTGTATTGAAATATGCATTTTTTTATTTATTAAAACACCAAAGCACATCGCAATACAAGGAAATGTAGAGGTGAATGCATGTTTATTTAGCAGAAAACTGAGCAGTTACTAAATTTACTACAGCAATAAGAAACAAGCAAAATAAGCACGTGTTAAGGGGATGAGAGTCCAAGAATGAAGAATTGCACTGGAACATCTAAAGCTTCTGGGTTCTGACCTTCATAAGAATCTCATTTCTTTCTTTGCTTCCAAAGAGAAACACACAACTTACAATGATGATGATGATGATGATGATGAATGAAGATGATGATGATGATACCCATCCTTCTCTTTTCTCTTCTTTAGTCTGCTCTGGATTGGCCAGCTCTGGAAGACAAGATGATGCCAACAATGAGCCCGTATAGGGCCAAAGCTTCAGCAAAAATAAGAATAAGGATCATCCCAACAAAAAGCTTAGGCTGCTGTGCATTAGCCCTGCAAATTAAATTTTGCTTTCAGTAAGTGTTGGTGCAAGACAACTGGAATTTATAGCCTAAGAACAAGATCCTCTCGGGCTAGATCAGTATGAACACGATGGTCTGAAAATGCTAATATAACAGAACAAACAGTAAGAGGGGGATATGCTGGTATATCCTGAGCTCACGGATAGAATTCCTCACGGCTCTAGCATGATAAGCAGATATCACACCAAGAAGTGCAAGAATGCAATAATCCCCAAACCAGAGACAAGGATGGGTAATAAGTAATAACAAGTGAAAAAACAATAAACAGTGGCAGGTGTTATTGTCTGATGGACTATGCACATTGTTCAAGTTTTGACACACAAAAAAACAGCTAAATCTGATCATTTTAAATATATTTTCATATTAAAAAAAGGGTTCCAGAGAAATTTAGTTTGTTAAAAGTAGTTCAACCATAAAAAATAATTAGAAGATATACCTTAAATTAAAAAGGTTGTATTGTTGGGAAACACGACTCTTTGTATGGTATAGGGGAGTATAGTATAACAACCTAGAAGTCAGATAAAAGGGCAACCTTGAGGTTTTATGCAGAAATAAGCGATTCATTATCCTTCATTACATATGTGCTCACATTACTTTGCAACTTAGGCCTCGTTTGTTAAAACATTTTGCTGTGTTTTACTTGGCCTTTTGTTTCTGATTCTAGCAGCTCTAAAACTAAGCTTTTAGAAGGTGTGGTAGCATTTCAGCTACACTATTTGGTGTTTCCAAAAAATGCCCTCAACTTTTTGCAAAATGTCTTCTTTTTTCAATAAAAATAATCGGACTTTTTCAAAAATACCCTTTGCCACTAATTTTACGTCACAACATCAACTCAAACAAACACACAAAACCCAAAATTTCTCAACAGTTTGTTAGACATCAACTACAACAGCAGAATAAAATGGCCTCTTAGGCAAACACAATGAAACCCAAAATAAGAAGCTAACAAATTAATATAAGTATAGCCAGGGCCCCCACAAGTCAAATTTAGGCGGAACAGAAATACAACTCGTCCACATACTTTTGTACAGTACATATTTTATACATATACAAAAGTCTGTTTGAACTTAGGTGGCCTAAGGACAAAGTTGGCCCACCCAATGGGCAAGCCAGAATGTGCTCGAATAGGGGCATTATTTTGTTATTAAACCAACACTTGGTAAAGCTTAGTCTGGTTTTATAAACCACCAAATATTCACTGCAGCTTTGAAGTCCAAGGACCAAATACTGAAAATGAGTCCGGCTTCCTAAATCCACTATAAAATGAAACCCCAAAACTTGCCTTTTTCTTATTTTTAATGAGCTTGAAAGTAATACTCCTATATCAAAATAAGATTCATGTTTAAACTTTGAAATACTTCTTAGTCCTAAACAAGAGTTAAGTTAATCAAACAAAGTTAATTTTTCAAACACCTTAGAGAAGAACTTGCTAAAAATCCACATAAAAGTTGCATATAGTAGCTTTAGCAAAACTAATAAATTAATTTGAAAAGTAGAAATATAATTCATCATTTATGACAATTTTACCTTACCATGAATTATAATATATACTCGTTTACTCTTTTATGAAATTCATTCAAGTTACTAACATGCTCACAATATTCGTAATACTGTTAAAGCGATGCATGCATACAAGTAATAGGCTGTCAGTCGAGTTAAATATTGGTCATTCCTGATGGCCCTATGTAAAAGCTAAGAAGATCTTGACAAGAATAGTGGTCTGCATCCATGAGGATTAGACTATAAAGCTGAACAGAGTTCGATAAATGCCAAAAAAGGCCAAGCCACCATGTACGACTGCTTGAAGAATGGGCTATGTTGTTCCAAACACGGGGGGTGGATTATTGGATATTTTTTGTTATGAAATTAAGGTTCAAACTTATCATCAGCAGCAGCACAACCTCAATCCTAAAAGAACAACTAGTTGGGGGGCGGTAGCATTATATTTAGAGTTTCAATCAAATGTACAAAAAATACTGCTCAGTATAAAGTAATTAGCATGATAAACTCATGCAAAGAGCATAGTGGCAGTGTTTTGCACTGAATGCCTTTCCTGAAGCTATCTTTACGAGAATGAGTTATGACATGAAAATTCTAAACCATTTTTATTTTAAGTTAATCCCAGGTGCATGATAAATATCATGATAGTGTTATTTACATCATCAATGCAATAGAGTTGCTATGTTCATGTACTCTGGGATATTTAGCTAAGATAATCTTGTTGATAATAAGACTTCTTCTCTCATTTTCCATCATGTTGACTTCCAATTGTTATTTTGCAATACAATCATTATTGTACTAAATTGAAAATTTCTAGCTCCGTCCCGTAGTATCTATATCAATTTGGTTTCAGACTTTCACAGACCTAGGAAATTAGCTCAGTAAACGACAACATACAGAAGCGATGAATGGGTTGGGTTAATTAATACCTGACACCTGCATCTCCAACGATTCCAATGGCCATTCCGGCAGAAAGGCCAGCAAGACCACAAGCGAGACCGGAAGAGAGGTGCGCATACCCATCAAACAGATAATAGGACTTGGTCTTAGGGTTAATCCCGGTACTGATTATCACGGCAATAATCAGACCATATATACCGAGCACACCAGCCATAACAACCGGCACGATGGACTTCATCACCAGCTCCGGCCTCATCACGCCCATCGACGCCACTCCCACCCCACTCTTCGCGGTTCCGTAAGCTGCCCCCATGCCTACAAAACCAATCAATCAATCAATAAAGCAACCGATCCAGGATCCAGATCCAGATTAGATAACGACGATCGACTAACTACGGAAGGATCCGTACAGGAGAAGACGAGAGCGGCAGCAGCGCCGAGGAACCCGAAAAAGGGAGCAGTTTCATCGCCGCTGAAGGAAGACGACATGGTTTGGATCTTTCGAAAGGGATTGTGGATCTGGGGAGTGCAGTCGAGAGCTCTCTTCTGTTTATTTGCTGGAATGATTCAACGAAATTGATACGGCCAAGAGGTCCCTATGGCTAAACACGTGATTTACGGTGGAAGATGCTTCTTTACCTTTGGTTATTCACTTTGGTTAAACGAATAAAATTTATAAATACCATGAAGTCCAACCTTTTTTTTTTTTGAATGATATACTCCTAATCCGTATGTGATTAGGAATAAATCTTGCTCGTAGAATTTGAGTAATGCTAGAGTCACAAACATTAAAATCCACAAAAAGCAAATTTGTGAAGTGTATATTTGTGATTCTAGCATTTTCCGTAGAATTTAGACCTACATAAACTTTGGATGGGATTGCCCACATTATATAATTGTATAAAGAATAAATTTTATAATTGGTTCTTTATAAAAGGGGTTTCTCTATTTAGTTCTTTATTATCAAATATTACATTAGTGGTCCTTTCTTTATGGGTATCTTTCCACAAATAGTTCTTTTTTGATCTTCTATGAGTTCTATCATGTTGAGTTAATTTGATGGCTAAAAGTGTAATTTCACAATGATAATATATATTTTTTGTCATACACAATTCCAAAGGTTGTTCCGTTTAAGATCAAAAAACAGACCATTTGTGGAAAGACACCCTTAAAAAAAGGACTACGGGAGTAATATTTGATAATAGAGCAATAAATATGGAAACCCACATGTTATAAACTAGAGTGTAACGATTCGTCTAACTACGTTCAACGAATATGAGTTGATATGAACACCGAACTGAACTAAGAGCGCTTCCGTACAAGCGTACAAGTAATTTCTGATTCGCTGATGGACATGCACATCTGTACGATTGAGAAACCGGCTGGCCCAATGCGCCCTTAAGTAGTGCCCCGGAACAGAGTTCAACTATTAACATAGTTCAACTGGGGCCGAAGGGCCGGTTAACCATAGATCGGCTAAGATCGGGAATGTTCTGTCATTTGGCGAAATCCGGCCTATGAAGATATTGGTTTTTCTAAATAAGATATAAATAAGATTTGCTAATCTATACTATTTGATAATAGAGCAATAAATATGGAAACCCACATGTTATAAAGGACCAATTATGGAATTTACTCTTGTATAAATATATAAATATAAATACTACCTTGAGTATTTGTCCAGTTTTAACTTTTTTCAATCAACTATTTTTAATCTTTGACATATAATTAATAAAATATATGTATAGTATATTAATTAGATAAAATAATAATTTGAAAATATTTGATATAGTAAATCTAAAAAATTATTTTTGTATCAATATCTAGTATCATCTTTATTTAATTTGAAGTCAAAATTTACTAAATATGAAATTTTACACATTGTTCGATATGAGGTGATAATTATGAAACGGATGGAGTATTAAAAAAATATTTCTTAACATCCTGATTCATGTGATAATACTCCTCAATGTCATGTTATGACCCGGAGCACATACGGTGTTTCGATCAAAAAATAATGATTATCGCCTGCCCCTCCACTTTTTTAATTTTTTTCTCCTCCATCCTTTCGCCAATTGGTTACAGTGACCACTGTAGTAAATCAGCCATCGTAGAGAGAGGGTGTAGCGTGGCAGAGGGGGTTGGTGGGTAAGGGATATGAACCATCTATTTTTGTTTAAGTCATGACGGTCATGTGTGCCAATAATCATTCGTGCACATAACAAGTCAAGTACCTAACTTTGTGAAACGATCATATTTTATATTCATATAGGTAGGTTTTTTAAACGTATTATGTAATTGTAATACTTTTTCAAAAGATCTATTAAGATATTCAATTTGTTTTCTATTGTAGTACAAACATTGTTATAGGATGATAGTTATCATATAGTGTTTGCAATTACTATGTGAATAACTTGTTTACGTTGAACTTAAAATTTAGTGTTGTACAAGACGTTAGTCGTACTTTCACGTAATTTTTGATGGACTTACCATCATCCTTCATATATTTTGTATGTTTAGCCATTATCATTTCCACATTATGATCTAGAAGAAATAATACACTCTTATTCCTTCATCATACACCGAATGAAATACATTCATTGTAAATATGGCTCGTCAAGTGTCCAACACTGAAATACAAAGTATACAAACTAAGTTTCATTAGCGTTTCTTGAATTTAATTATTTATTTTTTAGTTTTGATGTTTTCCTTATTCAAATGCACTTTTAATTTTCAAAATTAAAGGATTGTATTACATTATCAAGTCTAATTTAGGTATGTACCTAGTTAATTTGTTCTAAAATTGATAAGGAACTAATTTTTTAGATAAGAGATTGATAAAAAGTAAATTCTTATAAAAAACAAAAATATTTAATTAGATATCGGTACGAACTAAATATGGTTTCACCTTTAGATATATAGAGTACTTCCAAGCAATACCCTAAGACTGTTGGCGACTAAACTCATTCGACGCTGCTCCGTTTCCCAAGGGTTTCTATTCCGGCAGACTTTACTTCACTCCGGCCACCCTCATCGCCTTAGTAGTAGGCTGGTAAGCTGTTCTCAACTTCGTGCAGTTACCAAAAATGTTTAATTATTAGGAGAACCATTTCTGCCAATTACCCCTGCAATTTACTTCTCCAGAAATTCGCGGTTGACTTTATGTCCTCAAAAACCTACTTCTTCCCATCTCAATTTGCTTTTGAGGGATTTTCTCCCGGATTTTTTGGTGGGTTGATTCATCAAATGTGTTTACATCTCGAAGAATTTGATCTTGAAACACAATAATCAAGCACCTGTGGGAAGGTAAACTTAGGACACAGACGAGCTAAATTACTATTAGCTGTGTTTTGGTCTAACTTTAGGTTAGGAGCTCTATTCAATTGCTAGCACCAAAATGCTTTTAAAATGATTTTAGGGTTAGAATGAGAAGCTATTGTGATTTGAGATTGCCAGACATTGGGAAGGTTTATCTTGATGAGGAAGCACTTTTAGCAGACAAAGATTCCATGCATTCATTTGTGTCCATCTGTGGTCTTGAATGAAACATGATTGCTACTCTGTCAATCTGCGGTAGCCACTCTTTGTTGCTGCGATAGGTATTGCCGGTCCCTAACTGGAGTCAAAGAAAACGGGTCGGGCATTATCTACTCCCTGAAGCTCCCTAGTTCATCCACACGTATTCGATTGGAAGCTTCTTGAGGGCCTTCTGAAACAACCACAGTTAAAGCAGTTCTCCACAGTAAAAAATTGTAGCACATGCTTAGATCTGTCATTCGTTCTTCCGCGAGCACTTGATACTCTTCATCTTTGGAGTAATAGATCTTGTTTCCGTCCGTGTTCTAAAATATTTTCTAGTAGCATCTACAATCATTATTAACTATGGTTTGGAAAACATGTACTAGATATTCTAGTCTTCATTATATACTTGGCTTTAGAATGCTGTTGAGGCTTTAAAGCTTGGCTCAAGGGAAAACTATGGAAGTCGCCTTGAGTCCGCTTCTCCTTGGTATGGAGAAGCTTATGACCCAACCTCAGTGACGCTTAAACGTCACGATGCATATGAGGCTTAAGACTCTAATACTAGGCAAAGATTGGACATTTTACATGCAAACATTGCTCTTTTTTTAATTGTGTGTACTTTAGCTGATTAAGATTTGCTCTTTCTCAAAATTAGAATAATTAAGAGGCTATTGGTTATATTTTTCTTTTTAATATTGGCCCAGATAGAACTCTAGATCTTTATTTCTTTTTTAATCTAATCATTTGCTTTCTTTTGTTCTGTAATCTACTCACTTGAGTTCCTTCTACTATACTATGGTTCTACTTGGCCACTTTCATTTATACTCTATTCATACTTTATGAGTAGAAGTGTATAACTTAGCTTTGGTATCTACTCACTTGTTGGTTCTCCTTGCTTTTGTTTATCATGCAATTACCTCTTTTTTTTGAGTTAGTGCTCATACTTATCCAAAAAATTAATTTTTTGCGACTTTTACACATTGTAAAAGTGATGTTTTGCAAGTATCATATATTTTGCCTGTTAGGCTTATGCCTCTTGCGAGTTGCGAGGCATTTCCTTATGCACCTAAATAAATTATGCATTGGAACATTTTATTACCCCCCCCCTCCAAATGCAGCGTGATTCCGGGGAAGATAGCATGCCGACATTAAACTTTGCCTAATAGGATATAGTTTCTCTCTGTTTACTTGAATCAATATGGATGATTGTGAGCGAGGACACAGGAGAGAAAGGATGAATTGCTTCCGGGGAGGAGGTCACCCACAGGTAATCAGTTGGAGTGTACGTAGTAAAACAAGTCCATGTTTTTATTTGTGTTGTTTTCTAAAAATTAATTAAATTCCTTTGATAACTCAGTGGAGCATGGTTTCTCAGCAGCAACACATGAAGGAGCAGAATGCTTTTTTCATGAACATGAAGATGTTTTTCGCTGAGAGGGATGCAGCCATTGCGGAGCGCGACAGAGCTCTTGCCGAAAAAGAAGCAGCTACAGAGGAGCGAGACATGGTTATCCGCCAGCGCGACATAGCATTTGCTGAGAGAGACAACGCTCTAAGGGAACGCGACAACGCGATCGCAGCCCTCCATTTTCAGCAGGAAAACAACGCGAGCGTCGGTTTCAGTTACAGGATATGCGGAACGAAGCGCGCGAACACGATCCGCGTGACTGATGCGGTCCCCATATCGGCCATTTCGTCCGAAGCCGTCAAGTCGCAGCAGAGGAAACAGAAGCAAGCGAAGAGGAAGAGGACGAAGCGGGCCCGCGACGACCGGAACCGGCAGGTCACGACGGACGGGTCGAAGGCCGAATGGGACGCCCGGAACCAGGTGGGGCCCGAAATCTGTTTCGACGAGTCGACCATGCCGGCGCCCGTGTGCACGTGCACGGGGGTAGCCAGGCAGTGCTACAAGTGGGGGAGCGGCGGGTGGCAGTCGTCCTGCTGCACCACATCTCTGTCGGTGTACCCACTCCCGCGACGTCCGCAGAAGGACCGCGGGCGAATCGCGGGCCGGAAGATGAGTGGAGGTGTCTTCAGCAGGTTGCTTACGAGGTTGTCGTTTGCGGGGCATCATGACCTGTCTACTCCACTGGACCTTAAGAACTATTGGGCGAAACATGGGACCAATCGTTACATTACGATCAAGTGATTATGTAGTACGGAGTGGTTTGAGATTGTAAAGTTTTTGGTGCATATTCTCCGTAATTAATTTGTAGTCCTTAGCACATTATTGGATGCGTACTTGAATTAGTTAGGGGTAGTCTCTAATGGAATAATTGAATTCCTCAAGAAATAAGAGTACAATATTTATAAAAAGAATTATTCACATAGAGACTAGACTAGTCGAGCTAACACCCTTAATTATCTATGGCTGTTAAACATGATAACTAACGAGATAAAGATTATATGACAATGTAGAATGGTTTTATTTGCCAACTATCTTTAGGCTTGTTTGGTGAGTTGATGAAACCTTAATATGATTCAAAATTGGTACTTGTACCATCATTATAATTCATCAACCATCCACCTGCCACCACACACCCATTTCAGAATTCTCAAAAAAAAATGTTTCAAATTTTAGGTCCCGTGTGATGAGTTCGGGGGTATAATCGATAAGATACGAGTTTTGAAATTTGAAACGAAATTGTTTTGAGAGATTTAAAATCATAGTTTAATTTGTGATAGGCGGGAGTGTCAGACAACATGGTGGTTGACAGTGACAATGGTAGCGGGTGGCAGAGAACGCTCAACGGTTGTGAGATATATCCGACCTTATCTTGAAATCTCTCAAACTCGAGATACATCGAAACCCTCTACTTTGATCTTTTTTATGATATCTGGACATATCAATTTCTATCGTTTTTTACTTCACCAGATACTAAAAAAAGAGTATGATATCTGAAAATATCAAAACTCATATCATTTTTATTCTCCAAGTACACCTTTAGAATTAACAATAGAGTAATTTACCTAAATAAGATTAAAACATAATGATTTTCTCAAAATAGGACCATATGTTTTTATTTTCCAATTTATGACCATTGGTCATTATCTATTAATCATTATTCAATTAAATGTCCAGCATCACTTGGATATTATTCTTTTTACTAGTCGTTATTAAGTCTTATTTATAAAATAAAAAAATTTAAATCCTACATTAAAAAATGAATTATATTTTAATCTTATTCCGTGCAAATTTCGCTTTAACATTATTGCTTTTCAAATCACAAACTTGCATTCAAGGGAAAAGGGGGTGCCTCGCACGCGCTTGGGAGGCGGTGGCACGGGAAAAGGCGTACTAAAATATCATTAGTACAAGTAGTAGAAGATAAAGAAAATGATTGCTAAATAATCTGCGGTGATATAGGCAGGTAGGGACTGAAGTCCCGTGGGGGAGAAAGAAAAACAAAAGATACTCCAAGCCCGTCTGTGCAAAAAAATCAATAGTCGGAATGAAATTGAAATGCAAATTGCCCCGGAAATGAAATTCAAATGCGCATTAAATGCACGCGTCTCAAGCAGTAAAAGCGTGACTGTGTGAGAACGCGATTGTCGTACAGTGCTCGCTCCCCCCCCCCTTTTGTGTAATAATAATACCAGTAGTTGCAGTTGTTGTAGCCTCCGCCTCCGCCGCCTCCTCCTCGTCGCCGCCGTCGATACCGAGAAGACGAAGATAGAGAGAGAGAGAAACACATAACGCACATACTTTTTAGTGAGAGAAAGCTGCACGCCGAAGGGAAGGGAGGAGAAAAGATAGAGAGAGAGAGAGAGGCAGGGGAGTTTTCGCCTTGGCAGGATTCGGTGTCTCCGTCCCCACTGATGCCCTAAAATGTGGAAGATAACGTGCGCCGCCCTTCTCCCCAAATGTAAAGTGTTCGATTCAGGCAAATCCGCCGTTCACATCAACTTTATTCATTGCCTTTTTTTTATAACTGAATTTCAGTTCTTGGATATTTATGACTTTGTATTTTTCTCTTTCTTTTTTAAAAAAAATAATTTAAAGAAGAAAATCTGAGATTGTATGGTTTTTTTTATAAGAATTCTTGCGGATTTGATAGTGTCTTAGCCTTTCGATTTCTGTCTATTGAAAATCAGGCGCTTCTGAGATGGAAAGCTTAGGTCATAGTCCTGCTTGAGATCACTGGTTGAGTGTTAGTGGCAGATACATATATTTCTCTTTCAGGCGTTGAAATGGGCGGTAATACTGAGGAAGTTAATACTGAGATTTTCCAGAGGCTTCAATCATCTTTTGGGAAGTCACAGTCTTCAGCAATCTCCAACCAACAACCCGGATCAATGAGCCAACTTGACATTCCCCAGCTGAATTCTTCCCAATTTCAGGCTCAAATGCGGCAGTTCTCTCCGAATTTCTGTGCTGAAAACACCGGTAAAAGGGCAGGCATCCCGCCCTCTCATCCTCAAATGCCCCCGATCTCACCTTATTCGCAGATCCAGCAGGCATCGCGTCCCTCGAATCCACAAATGGGTGTCCAAAATTTCAACACTTCGAGCTCGGGACCTTCTCATTCTCGATCTTTATCACAACCCTCATTTTTCTCCCTTGATTCATTGCCACCCTTAAGCCCTTTGCCATTTAGGGAATCCCATATTTCTGACCACATGTCTAACGATGTGTCAATGGGGGAGCGAGATGCCAATTCACATTCTTTATTGCCCCCCTCTCCTTTCACAAAGTCTAATTCATTGCGTGCAGCTGGGGATAGTCATAGTCTTCCTCCTCGTAAGGCACACAGACGGTCCAACAGTGATATACCTTTTGGTTTCTCCAATATAATGCAATCTTCGCCACCACTTGTCCCCTTTGATAGGTCACTGGCACTGCCCCCAAAAGAGAATCTAGGTGGCAAGCCTGTGCAGTTGGTTAAACGGGAGACTAGTGGTAGCGAGAGCAACGGTGAAGGGATGGGGGAGAGAAAATCTGAAGGAGAAGTTGTTGATGACCTTTTTTCTGCATATATGAATTTGGACACCATAGATGCATTGAACTCTTCAGGTGCTGATGAGAAGCTGGGTAGTGAAAACCATGAAGACTTAGACAGTAGGGCCAGCGGTACAAAGACAAATGGGGCTGATAGCAGTGATAATGAAGCTACAAGCAGTGTGAATGAAAGCGGAAATAGTATGCACATATCGGGAGTACCTTCTTCTTCAACTGAAAAGAGGGAGGGGGTTAAAAGGAATGCAGTAGGAGACATTGCACCAACCACCAGACATTATAGGAGTGTTTCCATGGACAGTTTTATGGGAAATCTAAACTTCTCTGATGTCTCACCGAAATTGCCCCCATCACCGGGGAATCACCCTGGGAATCTCTCACCCACCAATTCACTTGATTCAAATTCAAACACATTTAGTTTGGAGTTCGGGAATGGTGAGTTTAGTGGTGCTGAACTGAAGAAGATCATGGCTAATGAGAAACTGGCTGAGATTGCTTTAACAGATCCAAAACGTGCCAAAAGGTAATATTTGTACTGATTTTATTCTATTCATTTTCTTTCCTTTGTGAAGAGAATATAGTCTAATCATCTTGTTCCAGAATTTTGGCGAACCGTCAATCCGCTGCTCGTTCAAAGGAGCGCAAGATGAGATACATTGCAGAGTTGGAACACAAAGTGCAAACATTGCAGACTGAAGCTACCACATTGTCTGCTCAACTAACACTTCTGCAGGTGGTTATTTTCATTGATTAGAATATTCCGAGTATTATTAGTTAATTTATTTATTTATTTATTATTGTGCCAGATAATTTTTTTTCTAACACTCAGTCTTCCTGTTGTCACACAGAGAGACTCTGCTGGGCTAACAAACCAAAACAATGAATTAAAGTTTCGTTTGCAAGCAATGGAACAACAAGCTCAACTACGTGATGGTATGGTTGTTAACTCATTTTCATGTTTTGCTTATATCAACATGGTTGCTTATCGAACATATGTGTAATTCGTGTTATGTTGAAATGGTTGAATGTTGATGGTTGCCAATTGAACTTAAATAGAATCAGGCTTAAACATTGATAGTTGTCAACTGAATTTGTGCAGTAGTTGTTGGTTTTCAACTACAATTATGTGGAATCATTCCAAATGTACAAACTCAACTATGCTGGTGTATTTGTTTTAATGTTTTGCTTGGATTTGTAGTATTTTACTTGGTGCATGTCTGCCTGTGGAATCGGTGCAGGTGAACCAAATTGGGCTACAGCATACATTTCACTAAGGCTATCTCTTGTTGGATATGCCTCTAGCCCTCTACATCCTTTCCCCCAATCTTTTCACTATTTGCCACATTAGACCATACCATCTCATTTTTTCACTTTAAGTGTTCTTTTTCTTTCTCATAATTACTCCCCCCGTCTGAATTTAGTTGTTTACTTTCTTATTTTTGTATGTTCGTAATTAGTTGTTCCCTTTCCATATTCTATAAATAAAATTATGGCGAATTGCCTAAAATATCCCAAAGATGTGGTATGAATGGAGTTGGACATTGTTGACATGAATGATGGATACACTCACTTGAAACACTTATTTGACATCTTAAACTCATTTCTTAAAAATGGGATTGTTTAGAAGGTTGCCAATTAAATCCTGATGGAGGGAGTACATTATTCAGTCTTTTTTAGCACATTAGACTTGCATCTTATTTACTCCTTTCCATAATGTATGATACGCTTGGGTTTGGAAGGGTTTTAAGAAAATGAGATGTATGGAGAGAGTAAACATGATGTGGGACTTGTGGGTCAATGAAAATGTGAAACCCTCTAAATGAAAAATGTGAATAAATCGAGAATATGAAAAAATATAAATTGGGAGGGTAAAAAGTGGGATGTGTTTAAAATTTCAATTAGAAATGAATATTGTTGGGGGGGGGGGGCTAAGGAAAGTAGATCTAACTAAATACTCCCCCCGTCCCAGAAACCCTTTATATACTAGTCCATGTACATGTATTTATCAAAACACTACTTTATTCAGAATTAACTAGACCATGGGCTCTTAGTTCTTTGCGCATTTGAAATATGTTATGTGAAATATAAAAAATATTTGAACTCAAGAATGATACTGATGGGCACAAGTACATGGAAACCAATTGAAATTGATCTTTATGATATCTTTGTTTATTCGTGGGATCGTCAGCCTGTGTGTGTTTGGAAAGATATGGAATCCAGGTTGGAGAAGTTTATCCTTTTTTTTTGGGAACAAAAACCTGAAATGCATTCAGAAAATCCACTTCAAGTCTGCGACTTTCCCTATCTCAATCCACACTTCTGCTACTTTTTCTTCTTTAGTTCCTTCGTCAGTTTGCCCCGGAGGTAACTTGTGAAGTTGCAACCCTTCTTCCTATCCAGGTTCATTGTTTCATCTCATGAAATAAATATAGTAACTTGCTCATGTTTTTATGAGAGGAAGTTGTTTTCGTAAACCAGGTTTATTGTTTCTTTTTGTGCTTTAAGCATCATGCTATGCATAGACTAAAAGTTTTTTTTTCTTCCAAGAAAACAATTTTAAGTAAGAAATTCTCTTAAACCCGAGATGCCTTTAACTTCACTACTCAATTAAGGTTTCCACTTCAGGAAACATAGTGCCGATTTTGCTGACACAATGCTGGATTGTAGGAAGTTATTTTGTTCCTTATCCTCATTTTGATGGGGAATAGTTCAAGTTCCATTGCTTTGAATTTTTCAACTTATATGCGTACTTTGGGTGCCTGTGTAAATCTTAAATTTAATGTGTTCCAAATGTATTATTACTATCGACAAAACAAATAACTAAGTTTGTGGGGACTGTGCAGACTAACTAAGTTTTGTTGTGATTTTGAAATGTTATAATAATATTATAACAGCCTTAAATGAAGCTTTGAGTGCTGAAGTACAACGCTTAAAGATAGCCACGGCAGATCTGAACGGAGATCATACCAAGTTCCAACAGCTTTCATTAAATCCTCAGATGTTTCAGGCTCAGTCGGCTGCTGCTCGACTAAACATGCATCAGCAGTTGCACCAACAACAATCGTCTCAGACCCAACAACCTCAGCATCAGCAGCATCACAACAACACTGCAACATCAAAGCATGACACAAATCAATAGCCTTTTGACGTACGGTACCCCCCACAATTTCATTCAACTCAAACAAAATCGGACGCGTCTGTGCTCCTTATTTATATCCTCAATTCCTTCATTAGTTCTGCGTTTGCAGGAAATATGTCGAGGCACAACTCCTTTTTTACATGTACACTCTTTGAATGCTTAGTTTCTTACTTATATCACATATAGATATCGGCCTTATTCGTAGGAGTATATATATACATATATCTATCGGTGTACCTGAAACTTGTGTATCTTTTGCATGACATTTGGTGGAAGGTGGACTCAGATGTTTTGTCAAATGTATTGATTATTTCCAAATCTCCTCTTTCCGGTTTGCCCTTTTGTGCATTTACATTTTCGATTTTCTACCAGTTATGGAAAAACTCTCACTAATTATTCCTGAATTCGAGTACGAATAAATCTCAGCTCCCCAAAGATTTAGGTTCAAATAATAGAAATATATGAATCTTGGACTTAATAATTACTAGTGAGAAGATCAATGTTCAAGTGATGCTGGACATTTAGTTGAATAATGACTAATAGATAATGACTAATGGTCCTACATTGGAAAATAAAAACATATGGTCCTATATTGAGAAAGTCGTTATGTTTTAGTCCTATTTAGATAAATTACCCATTCTGTTTATCCCAGATTCTCGGCGGAATACTCCCCGCGTTTTTTTCCAATTGTTCATTCGGGTCCAATTTGTTTATGTGGAAATTTGACCTAACAATATACCAAAAAATTGCTACTAGGTACCCCCAATTTTGTGATAAGAACTCGCAGGTCCCATGATTTTTCGAAATATACTCCGGAGTACCTTAAAATATCTAAAAAGTCACTCCCGGGTGACAATCCGTCTATGTGTCCGTTAATTTTCCCTCTCCGTTTCTTCATTTCTTCATCCTCTTTAGATCTCCTTTTTCTTTCTTCTTTTTTTTCTTCTTTCTTCTCTTCTTCTTCTTCTCCCACGCCTTCCCATCCAATTCAGTCTCCCATCCCTCCCCTTTTTTTTCTTCTTCTTTTTCTTCTATTATTATTATTAATTATTATTATTAGTTATTATTATTTTATTATTATTTGTTATTATTATAATCATTATTTATTATTATTATTTTATTTAATTAGTAGTTTGACTAATCTAACTTTTTTAGTAGTTCTACTACTCTAAATCTTTAATTGAAAATTACTTTTAGTAATATATTTATGTATAGTTTATAAAATTAAAATTATTTATCCACTTGGTTATAAATTATACGTCGTAGTTCATAATAATGTAAAATTTAGAACTGTTTTTTATTGTTTCATACTCCCTCCATTCCAGTGAATTTGTCTAATTTACTTTTTTGAGTCAAACTAGACAAACTTTGAGCTTCAATTAAATAAAAATCGTAATGTACTTTAACATAAAAATGACTTTATTGGATGTATAATATCGTATTGAAAACTTTCAAAATTGTATTTCATTATGCTAATATGCAATATAAATTGAAAGTAATTGGAGTTCAAAGTTTGTCGAGTTTGACTAGAAACAGTCAAACTGGATAAATACACTAGGACGGAGGTAGTATTATCTTTAAAAAAAATCCATAGGCGGCACTTACTCATCTTATTCTTTTCTCAAGTCCTCTCGTTTTCTCGATTTACCTTGACACCATTGCCCATGGAGACTACTGATGACTAATGCGTGGCTAATGCGAAAGACAACATCGGATGGCAAAAAAATAGAGTAGTAAAACTACAAATAATTTGCTTAACAAAAATATAATAATAAGTGTTGTTTTAAATAATAAATTCTATTTTGCTAAATAATAACAATTGTTGTTTCTGAAAAATAAAGTAATAAAACTACTAATTAATTTTTAATAATAATTAAGAAAATAATAGGAAATAAATAATACTATCTCCGTCCCAGAGTATCTGTCAAGTTTTGACTTTTTTAGTCAACCGTTTTTAATCTTTGACCTACAACTAAATAAAATATATATTGTATATTAATTCGGTAAAATAATATTTTGAAAATATTTTAAATAATAAATCTAATAAAAATATTTTTGTATCAATATCTTATATCATTTTTATTTAGTTTAGGCTATTTTTCTAAATAACAATTACTGATTTTTATAAAAAAGAGTAGTAAAAGTAATAATTAATTTTAAATAATAATAGTGATAATAATAATAGAATAAGAAAATCATAATTAATATTAAGTAATTATAATAACTAATAAAAAATAATAATAACTATAATAGAAGAAGAAGAAAAAAGAATCCAAAACAAAAAGTAAAAGAAGGAAAAAAGAGGGGGTGGGCTGGAGGATCATTTTGGAAGGCAAAGGAGGAAGAGGAAAAGAAGAAGAAGAAAGCATTGAAGAAGAAGATACAGATGATCGAAGGAGAAGAAAGATAACGGAAAAGGGATATTAATGGGGAGAGAGACCGATTGTCACCCCGGAGTCATTTTTTCAATATTTCAAGGTATCTCGAAGTATATTTTGAAAAATAATGGGACCTGCGAGTTCTTATTACAAAATTAAGGGTACCCAGGAGCAATTTTTTGACAATATACTCCCTCCGTCCCAAATTATAATGCCTGTTTACTATTCACAGGGTCAAACTTTATTCACTTTCTTTCTCTATTTTCGTTAGCAATTTGATAAAATAAAATATTATTGTCACTACTAGTTTTGTAGATCTTTTGATGTAGTTTTTTAATATGTAATTTTTATTTTTTAATTCTATACCATTTGTCATATAAAATGGTTTAAAAATAATTCCAGTCAAACATCGTAAACCNAGGGTACCCAGGAGCAATTTTTTGACAATATACTCCCTCCGTCCCAAATTATAATGCCTGTTTACTATTCACAGGGTCAAACTTTATTCACTTTCTTTCTCTATTTTCGTTAGCAATTTGATAAAATAAAATATTATTGTCACTACTAGTTTTGTAGATCTTTTGATGTAGTTTTTTAATATGTAATTTTTATTTTTTAATTCTATACCATTTGTCATATAAAATGGTTTAAAAATAATTCCAGTCAAACATCGTAAACCGAAACAGGCGTTATAAATTGGGACGGAGGTAGTATAAAAAAGGAAAAGTATCACAAACAAATTCACTTTTTATTAGTTTTCTAAAAATTTTCACACGTTTTACTATTTTAGTAGTACCCGTGTATTTGGGTTTTCGTTTATCCAGTACATACCACCTATCGGAAGCAATTGAACTTTTTTTAATAAACGGATAAAAAGTGAGATTATTGGACACAATTTATTTTTTATTTTTGGAATTGTGCTGTAGTTTTTTATTTTAGGCAATATCTCTTTTTTATTTTAGCTGCCACTTTAAAAATTTGTTCAATTAAATATTCTTTTAATTTTTAATTTAAAAAAAGCCAGAAGACAAAAGTTGTATTTGTCTTCAATTTAAATTTTTTTTCCAATTTTAAAATCTAAAATTAAGTTTTCTTGTAGTTTATGAATCAAGTTATTTTAAATTTAATAAAAGCTAAAAATTAAATATGTATAGAGAATATTGAATAACTATAATGAAAAAATTTTCAAAAAGTCTTATATTATTCTCATGTCAAAATATTCTTCCATTTTATTTAAATCATAAATAAAATAAATGTATATTGAATTATTATATGGATTACTTATTTTACGGAAAATTATTAAATATTTAATTCATTGTATTCTCGAATAATACAAATTTAATACGGAGTATAATTAACAATTGAAATTAGTCTAATTTGATTCAATGAACCATGAGTAGGAAAGGAAGGAGGACGATGCTAGTCCAAAAAATTACTTCGGATTACCCTCGATTTTGGTGAATACAAGGGCAGTTTCGTCCTAGTACTTTCCCGAGGATGATTTTGGTGATTTATTTGGTCGTTAGGTTTTGTTTATAAGAGGTGAGGGTAGAATCGAATTACAGACAAACAGAGAGTTTAGTACTTCTTAGTACTGCTGCTGCGGCTCAGTTCTAGAGAGAGAGACGACGTCGTCTTCAACAGAATGGGGATCGGAAAATGCAGCAAAATCGGCCACATTGTGAGAATCCGACAAATGCTGCTGCGGTGGCGGAGGAAAGCAACGCATCCCGTTCCGGCGGACGTGCCGGACGGACACGTGGCGGTGTGCGTCGGGAAAAGCTGCAGGAGGTTCGTGGTCCCCGCGTCGCACCTGAACCACCCCGTCTTCCACAAGCTCCTGGCTCAGGCCGAGGAGGAATACGGCTTCGCCCACCAAGGCCCCCTCTCCATCCCCTGCCACGTCTCCGTCTTCGAAGAGACCCTCCGCTTCGTCAAAGCTGACCTATTCCGGCGGCGCTGCGGCGGCGGCGGCGGCCTTGTCCGGGACGAGGATGTTTTCGTCGAATCTCGGCCGATGATGCTTCAGATGTGTTGAATTGATTTCCGTTTGTCTCTCCTTCATTGACTGCGGCGGGGTAACATTTTTTTTTACCACGGGGATGGCCAGATAATTAATTAGAGAGAGCCGGCCTGGCAAATACTGCCGGGTCAACTCAGCCATCCCCCGAGTTCACTCGGAGTGTTTTTTTTTAAAAAAACTTGTTTTGTCTTTTCCGGTTCGGTTCGTGTTTGGGCCCGGTCATGTGCTGAAGAAGAAAATGTTTGAGAATCTTGTCCTAAGCCTTTTTATTTCACCTCAGTTAAAACAAGTGTATGGTCGAAGTCTTAAAAGAAAATGTAATGATGGTTGTAACAATGCTCATTTAATGATTTCCTAAACCATACTCCTTATCTGTTGTTCCATTTCAGGTGATCAAATTGTATCATACTCCGTACTTTTTGCTTGTTTTCCTTATTTATAAAACAATATACGGAGTAGCATTTTTTGAATGTATGGAATTTTATTTTTTAAATTTATTAAGAGTTATTAATTAAATTAAGAATAATTAGAGTCAAATATTATAAACCATAGACCAAAGTTTTGTAGAGATACTCTAGGGTGCTTTCAAAAAATCTTTTTTTAAAAGATTTGTTAAACAAATATGGTGAATGCAAACTTCTTTTTGGGCAGTTCCCAAGACATTGCTAGACATTGTCGATCAATATCATGGGATGACCTGGAGGTGTTTTAGTGTCCCATTCGTAAAATTAACGGTTCATATCCCCCTGGTAAACCCTCCATTCTGACTCGAACACAACCTCACCTCCTTCAACACTATTCTCAAGTTAATTTTGACTTTGAAGTCAATTTGACTTCAAAATCAAAATTAACTTGGGGTGCAATTGAAGGGGGTAGGGGTGTGTTCGGGTTGAGGCGGTGTGAGGGGATTACCGAGAGAGGGAGGTAGGAATCGTCAATTTTACAAACGAGGCACATGAACGCTTCCAAGTCATCCCATGACATGGGGTCCTAATAATGTCATGAGAGCTCTTCCGAACTTCTTTTCTCTTTAATTAATATTTAATTCTTCGTAATGTCTTATAGTCAAGTGACATCATATCTTTAATAATTGAGTCAAAAGTATTCCAATAATAATAATAATATTCCAATAATAATATTCCAATAATAATATTCCAATAATAATAATATTATTATTATTATAACACTCCTTAAATCTATTGATCCTAATTCTCTCCTCTCTTCAATTGTTCTTGATGCGATATTTTATCTATCACAAACGTAGTATTAGCAAAATATTGAGCTAATTTGCTCTTGATGTGAAAAAGAATTTTTTTTTCTTTTTATAATTTTGATGTACGGGAAATGGAGTAATTCAAGAGTAGACTTTTCACATAGGCAAAATGAGGAAAGAGGTTTACCTGTTTGTCTTGCTTTTAAGTGTGGATTGATGTTTTGTTGGTTGGTTGGCATTTGTAGGTGAAATGATATGGGACCAACACTCACATATATGGAATACAGCATATATTTCAACAAAAACTACATTTGATTTTCACACCAATTATTATACGCACTATTGTACCGTAAAAATAAAATTATGGACTATTGTTGTTCATTGATTTTAGGACGCAAGAACTCTCTCTGCTTCAAATTAAATTGTTTGTTTACTATTCACTGGGTCAAACTTTATTTACTTCCTTTTTTATTTTCGTAAAAATAATATAGTCATGCCACCACTAGTTTTGATTATGTAATTTTTATTTTTTAATTCTACAATATTCTTCATATAAAATGATTTAGAAATAAATTCAATCAAACATCGTAAATCGAAATAGACGATTTAAATGGGGAAGGAGGGAGTACTATTTGTTAGTATCACTTTTTGTTGATATTATTAGGATTAATAAAGATAATAGGAAATAGAATATTACTCCGTAATATTATTTATTTTCTCTATTTTATTGTTATCATGATTTTTTATTCTATTATAATTAGAATTTTTTCTTGTATTTCCTATATATAAGGACGAAATCTTCATTATTCAATAATACTAAATTATTATCAAATTGTATCAAATATTTCGTGTTCCTTCATATATAAATTAAAATCTCTTTTTAGTTTTACTTTTTCTTTTTTTTTTGTACGGGAAAAAATTTATTTTCTATTTTAATGTGTGGCTCACAACTCTTCTTCTTCCTCTAAACAAATTAAATTCTACTTTAGAATTTTTCGTTTTCAAACACATTTCTTAAATCACGTGAAAGCATAATTTTTATTGTTTTTGACTTAGCCGAATTTGTTGAACAATGGCTTTAGCCCAAAACTGGTTTCGACTAAAAATAGCCCAAGACTCTCTGTGTGTTTCTTCAGCCCGTTTTTTTAAAGGACGGGGCACCACTAGATCTTAAAAGTACACCCATGTAGCCCGTTGTCTACATGTTTGTTTTTTACGGTCTCCTATCATTAACATATCTATCTATATACGGGTATAATTTTATATTATAAAACATGATATTTTTAAACTTTATTTCAAAATAAATCTATTGATATTAAGTTTATATAATAAATCAATATTTTCTTCTACATTTTATAGGATCAAATATAGAAAACTTTGACCAAAAAAAGAAGATAATTTCAGAATGGAGAGAGTACTTGTAAAATATTAAGTACAAAAGAAAAGAAAAAGTACATTTATTAACACCTAACAATAGATTAGCACATGGAATGTCACACAAACAAACTTATGTTAGCTGAGAGCAATTTTTTGAAATCTTTGCTAGTTGAGTTATGGCCGGGGTGGGGATGGAAATAGGTTGGGTTTTAGTCGAGTGGAGCTTAACCCTTTTCGATACATTAACTCTATATCCACTATGATTCACCCATCATCTGTTACACATATAACTCATCATCGGATGCATCTAATGCTCGCGGGGTGAAACGGGTGAAAATATGTGATATAAATAATACTGAGTAATTTTTTACTCATTAATTTCATAAAATGCAAAATTTATGAAGCGCATAATACAGAAAAATTCGTTGAAAAATAAAAGGTTGATGATATTTGTGATGAAATCCTACCAAGAAATAATTTTCAAAGACACAAATTAAAGAAGGTTTTTTTATTTATAAATTGGTACATTAAGAAGTGGAATAAACTTATGTACACAAAAAAACTAATAATACCTTTCAAATATAATCTATCTTAAAGCTAAGTAAATATAAATGGGTCGGGTGACGAATCGGGCGATGGGTAAAAAATCCTTCATCCGCATTTGACCTAATCCATCGTTAGTCCATCTATCATCCTTTTATGTTCGGACTTTCATCCATTAAACCGAGTCGGATGGTTCGATTATCTCTTAGGTAGAAATTGTCATCCCTATGTAGTATTTTATACTCCGTAATTACTATTTATTCTGTAGAAATATTTTATGAGGTGCACAAAAAAAATTAAGATGAAAGTATTTTGTGATACGGATGTATCCAGTATGTAGTATTTGGACTATCTACGTACCAGCTGAAGCCAGCGAAAATAATAGGTGAGAAAGTGTACTTATTAGCTAAACATTGCGGCATTGCATTCTGCACCAAATTAAACCAAATGTTGAGAATACGATCGAATGAATGTAGTAATAACGTACAGTAATGGATATATAATGGCGCTTTGTTCCCAATCCTTTCCATATACGGAGTAGTACTTCTTAGTAGTTAGTCCGTACTACCCTGGCAGAGTACGATCCAATATATATATATATATATGTGTGTGTGTGTGTGTGTGTATCTATATATATATATATATATATATATATATATATATATATATATATATATATATGCCAATGCCGCCATTACAACTATTGTACGTCTGTACTTGCTGGCCAAGTGACTACTCATTCCCCAATTGATTTTGTCTCTTTCATCTTATTGTGACTCATAGTTGGCAAATTTAATTACTTGACGGGGAGATTCTTCATAAAAACACTAGAGTCGTGTGCCCCCGGAAGTTCAGAAGTTCGGTGACTTTTAAGGCAACGTGCTCAAGTTCTAGGAAATCTAAAACTTTTTGCAAAACAGCCCCAAATTCAGCATTGGGGCGGACACCAAAGGATCCGGACCGAAGTGATCCAAACTATTCGAGACTAATTCGTACCCAACGAGCGGGGCAACCTCAACGCCACGAGGGACGACTTCCACTTGGATTGCGCGACAAATCCAGCAGTCAGAGCCGTCCCATCGAGACAAACGCGACAAAGAAGGCGAAGGGGAAGGCCAATACAACGGGTCCTAGTAGGCCACTCCACTGCAAACTCGGTGTTGGACAAAATGAATGTTAACCTTGAGCGCATGATCTTGGTTGTTCATTGCACCAACCTTAGCAAGCTCATGACAATGGATACGTCGAGGATGTCAGAGATTAGGATGAAGTACCACCACAACATGATGGCAGCGATCCACATCTTGATAAGTAGGGCAAATTAGTAGTATTTTTTTTCTAAGTCTTTATTTTCCAAGCACTCTAATATTTTAGTTTATGTAATTTTAATTTTAAGCATGACAAACTTCCCCTTTTACTAATGTAGTATTTCGTAATTTTAATGTCATATTCACTTATTTTTTAATTTTTTATTGATCTAATCCCATTTTATTATTTTTAAATTATTCACCTATTTTAATTAATATATAAATATTTGTATTAAATATATATAAATTTTGAATTAAAAATGATGAATAATGTAAAAGAAATAGAAAAGCGGTTTTTTGAGAGCAAAAGCATTACAAGATTTTGGGTCGGGACTGAAAATTAGTAAAATACTTATGTGGCAAGTAATGGAGCGAGACGAGATTTGCCAGATTCCCTCTTGTTTTAAGTGCTCTAACACCAAGGCTATAAAAGACCTCCAAAAATATTTGGGGGAATTGCAACAACATATGAATGCGTCCAAAGGATTGAGGATGATAATAATTCCGGTCTTCACGTTTTAAGATGGGATTATTTTCATGTCAGACTCAAAAAATCGATATGTTAGAATTCTTTTTTTTCACTTCGGAGTTGAATGGAACACTCTAGGCGGCTAGGCCAGTGTATGGTGTCGAAAGGAACCTGGTGTCATATTATGACACTAAGGTTCTTTGTCAAAAGAATCCCGATGATTTAACTTCATTAAATCAACTTTGAAAGAAAAAATTCTTAGCAAACTGGTATCCAAATTAACACCCACAATATATGGAGTATTAAAGAATAATTACATTTGAAACATCACTCTCTTATTTTTCATACAAAGAGATTATTGGAATTCAAGGTAAGTTTATCTTTACCAAAAAAATAAGAACACGCCGACAAATACACACACACAGACAAATCACTTTAGCCTATGCACATCACAGAGAAGATAGAACAAGTTCTCTGGGAAGGAGTATTTAGCATGAAGCATACCCCTGCCAGGAAAAGCTAAAGATCAAAAGGTCTATACAAATCAACCCAGCCATGAACATTGCCAAGAAATAGGCCAGGTTAATTACATATAGCTCCTTGATCCAAACATAACTAAAAGAATTGTGACAAGCTAAATTGATGTACTTTTGGTGGAGGAAAACGTTCAAAAAAGATGAAGCCAAACACAACAGGGGAACCAGAGCTTCATCTTAGACCATCTTTCCCTCCACCTTCCTATATATGTATTTCTTCTTCTTCTTCTTCTTCTTCTTCTTTTTCTACCTTAGCATTGCTGTGAGAGATTGGAAAGACTTTTCATCGCAAGGAATCGTAATACCCATATCGTGATGGAACCCAAATTCCTCCTCGGCTTGTCTGAGGAGAAGCTGAAACTGGGGGTGAGACAAGATTGAGATGGGCACAATGTATCTACTTCTTTTTTCGCCTATGTACACCGCAAAATGACCTTTCGGCACGTCCCCGGGAAGCCCTTCGTCTTCATCGTACCACCCGTGCCTCTGCCTAAACTGGGTGGAACACTTTTTGATGATCTGCTTCAGAACTGCAGCTTGTGAGAGCAGCTTGCTTGATTTCCTCATTCTCGATGTGTTGTATAATGAAGTGAAATACACCAAGGAATTCAAGAATGTCAACAGAGGAACTGAGCAGAGAGATGGCATAAGTGGTGGAGATGGATGTGTTGTTAGAAGGATCTGAAAGAATTTATTAAGGGAGAAAAGAGGGTGTATGGGTTTTTATTTTTTTAAAAAAATCAAGAAATTATTATATTATTTAATCTGAAATGAATGAATGAATAATAACAAGTCTAAATGTTGGGTGATTTGGGAAAGGTGGGGTGCATATGTGTGGGGGCCAAGGCACAATGGGATTTATATTCAATGCAGGCTGTCCAAATGACATTGGGGCCTTCTTTTCTCCTGTTCCTAAATTCTAAATGCTTTGAACCCAAAATAATCCCTAGGGAAAAGATTGAGGTTCTTTTCACATCACTCATGGGTGTCATAAGATGACACCGGGCAATTTGAGGGGCCACTCATGGGTGTCATAAGATGACACCGGGCAATTTGAGGGCCCACTCATGGGTGTCATAATATGACGGGCCATGTGAGTCTGGAAGAAGATAACAAAGAGCATCCAAAGTCTAGAGGGAGAAAAACACAGAAAAAATATACTCCGTATACGATAACATTGATGACGATTTCTATGCGGTATAAAGTTATATAAAGAGAATACATGCTATAATATAGCTACATGGAGAATAATAAATTGTACAACGCAAAATTTGGGTAGGGGTTGTGTCCCTCAACCGCGCGAACGAAATATTTAACAGTACATTAAATATTCTATCATCTTTGATAACCTAACACGTTTCATTGTTATGCTACACAGCCTAACCGTGAAATCCGAGGGACAGGGTTAGGAGAAGTAGGAACTACTTCAGAATTGAACGAAGTACCTTAAGGCCCCGTTTGGTACACGGAATTCAAGTCATAGAGTTAGAATTGGGGATTTCAATTTCAATTCTGCTATTTGGTAGCACAAAAATATGTGGATTTGGAATTCGTAGTACAAAAAGTGAACTAGAATTAAAGAACTCAATTACGTCCAATTCAATTCCATATAATTTCAATTCTATAATTATGTGCATCAAATGGACCCTAAGACCCTAAAATGACCTAATGTCATATTATGACATCTGCCCTTGGTATCAAAAGAACCTAAGGGGAAGAGGGAAAATAGATAGAGTAATTATTCTTAAATTTTAAATACTTGTTCAAACTCTTTTCTTAATACATCTCTATCAATATGAAGATTAAGAAATCTATACACGTTTTTTTATTTATAGATTAAGAAATGCCCATTGTGCTTTTATTTATGTAATGTTTTTTTGTAACAAGTTGATAGGAAGTTTATAATATTTAATTTATTTTTTTGGAAGCAAAAAAAAAGAAAAAAGAATATAGAATTCAAATTAATACAATATTTGGAACTTTCTTGCAGCAGTACGCAACTCATTAGCTATCACAGCTGGTATTGGTTCACTTCCAATCCCCAACACCATTCCTTTCAGATTATACTTTTGTTCCCATTTCCAACATTTTGTCTCTAACTCACCCACAAACCTTTCCTTTTCATGCATTTATTTCTCCAAGTCATATCCTCATTCCAGTCTCAGTTCATTTTACTTGTCAAACAAATAATACAATCTCAACTAAAGAAAAAAAAGAATACTTTAACTCAAGATAACTTCTCATGCAAGCAGTAAAACCTTAGAATTACCTGGAACAATTACTATATATATGTTCCCTTGAAAAGGATTGAATGCTAAGATGGTCATTATCAATTCATCTACCTGCATGTTCAGAAAGGGTAAACTAATCATAAAATAAATTTGATAAAATAATTTAAAACACAACATCTTGGAACAAAACTAGCTGTACTGAATAATTTAGGAGCACTTTTAAATCTCTGTTAGAAATTTTAGTTGCTGAATATCCACACAGCAAGCTCAACTGCATTTTGCTTGTAGCCTGCATGCCCTACACAGCAAGCTCACCATGTACCCTACAACATGAACAGAAATATAACTGATAAAAAAAATAATAAAAAATTAATTGACTTGCTAATGGTTCTGTATGCAGGACTACCCAGCACAAGTAGCTGTATGGAGTTGATTTCTGTAGTCAAAGCTTCAGACATTTTTAAGGAAGAAATAAACTTGGGGTACCCCAATTGTGTGACCCCCAACCCTCAAATTAAACCACCCTTAGCATATGATTCTTTAAGGAAACAAAGTCAATAGTCCTAGGCAACTAACTAATATAGTACCCGCTTCGTTTTCAAAAACACTTCCTCTTTCACCAAAACACTTCTATTTTCTATTTAAAAAACCACTTTTACCCCAACTAATTCTTAACATACCCATCACATTAAACTTTTTCACTAATAATCTACCCACCAAATCAAAACTTAATTTTACCCATCACATCAAGGACAAGATTGGAAAGTCAACTACAAAAATACACTCTTTATTTCTCCCATTAGTCAAAATAGGAACTAGTTAATGCATCACCTGCTGGCTCTATCCAGACCCTGAGTTTTAGCAGCTCATCATCTGCAGAATTGGTAAACATATAAATGGTGAAAAAGAATTAAACCACAGTTTATGCCAGCATTTTAGCACCAATTGGGTGGGTAGGCAGCTCACCAGTGTAATGTGTTTATAACTTATACTCCATAACAAACAGCACTGTGGAACTTAAGTGTAATAACTACAAGGATAAAAGAAATACACTCAGGCCTTTCATCAAACAGCTGATAGGCATAAAAGGTCAACTTGTGATAATTATACAAACTTTTATATAAGGACCCAATTATGAATATTTACCTAGAAACAAACGGAACAACGGTATCAAGTATCAAGACCCCAAGTTGGATAACACAGACATTTGGAATTTAATGGGAAAAAAGGGGGAAAAAAAAGAAAGAAAAAAAAGGAAACAGAATAAGATGCCCTTGTTATAGATCCTTAGGTATGTACTCTTAATTCATTCGCAGGCCCAATACTACGAACGGGGGTCACAGAGAGTTGGGTCAAACTGGTAGTGAATTTCGGGCTAAGCTTGCCTTGGAGAAGCCCGGCCCAGAAATTAATTTTTTTTTTTCTAAAAATAAATTATTATGCTCACTCGCATTCCATTTATCTTAAAAAATTCTCCTTCCATCTCAATTTAACGATCTCTGGATGATTTATATTTATATACCTGTTTTCATTATTTATTTGATAAATAAAATGTTTTCATAACCTCTTGTTTTGTAAAATTATTAATGTTATTATGAATGGTGAAATTTGTATTTTTTTATTATTGTACCAATTCAAACTAAAACTATTTAAAAGTGAAGCGATTTGGCACATTCTTTTAAATGAGAAAAATAAATTGGGGTAGATGGAGTACTTTCCCAAACCTTATTGTCGTGTAAATGGGTGTAATTTAATTAGAAATATTTGTACTAAATAGCACTAAAACATACTTCCTTCGTTTCTTTAAACCCTTCTAGTATTGACTTTTGGGAAAAATAAGGAATGTGTAATTTTGGTTGACTTTCCAATTTTGTTCCTGATGTGATGGGTAAAAGTAAGATATGATAGTTTGGTTATTAGTAAAAAAAATATGATGTGATAGGTATGGTATGAAAAATAAGGATAAAAGTAATTTTTTAATAGAAAGTGGAAGTGTTTTAGGTAGTGTTTGGCAACTAGCATTTCATTTCAATTCATGCATTTCAATTCTAAAATTTGAAATCTTGAATTTCAAATGACAAGGGGAGGTGCATGAATTTCAAATTAAGCTTTGTTATGAATGTGAAGAATTTGACTCAAATCCATATTCAAAATTTTTAAGTTTCCCAAACATGGAATTTGAGCCAAATCCAGATTTGAAATTTAAATCCATGTTCTCAAACATACCATTAGGGAATTCAAAAAAACGAAAGAGGAAGGGTTTTGTAGAACGAAGAGAGTATGTCATTTCCTAATGAAGGATTTAAACTTTTTTATTCTCTAAAATCTAAATAGCACTTAATAATGTCCAAAAGAAAGGATAATGTCCAATAATGCTGAATATTTACTTGAATAATGACTAATGGATAATGATTAAAAGTGCTACATTGGAAAATAAAACATATAATTCTGCTATTTGGAGAAAGTCATAATGTTTTAGTGTTATTTAGGTAAATTCCTCATTTAATTAACCAATTACTTTAGACGTCTAAACTCTAAACACTTGATCGTCTTTTTAGTTTTAGGTTCTTATCTTTTTCAAACGTTAACACCGTATATGGTTCTGATACGAAACTAGATACAAATCGTATCGGGTAGAAAACAATTTCGAATGTTTTCCGGCTTCAAAAAAGAGAGGGAAAGAATTCACGGGAAAGACGAAGAATGCGAGCTGATAGAGAATTAGAGGTGAGAGATGAGAGTTATGAATGGTATTGTAAATGGCAGACTTGGGCTCGTGAGCAGTACATTAGAATTTTAGATTATGGGCTCAAAGGGAAAGTGTTGATGTCACGACCATGGACATTCATAGACATGTTGGGCCGTGTACAAATATTAATGTCCATCATCATATGGTCCAATATGCATTAATAATTTTCTCTTTTATTAAATCTTTTTCCCAAAAAAAAAAAAAACAAGTAATGATGGGGTATCTAGAGTTTGACCATATTTTAGATAGCAGTGCCTTGTTTTAAAAAAAAACGATAGCAATGTCTTTACAAACATTAGATACATGTAAGTGGTGCAAATGTCTTTACAATCATTAAAAATATTATTACTCGTGTATAAAGAAATGCATGTAATAAAACACTATCCATTTACTTTTATGCTTAGAGAATAAAGTGTAGCAAATTTCATTTTTTCAAAAAGAAAATAAGATTTGGGTTTTGAGAGAAGGGAGATAAAGAGTAACGAAGGTAGATTGAGAGAGAGTAAGACATTGTGGGGCGGGTTTGGTGGTAGCGGCGATGAACGAACTAGAGTGAAGACAATCAAGACATAGAGGAGGCATAAATGTGGGATGTGGATGAATTGGACGGAGGAGTAAATGTTGAAATAGGAAGATAGTTTTAGAACCAAAAAAAGTGAGAAAGAAAGTTTTAGACAACATTTTGTTCAACTTATTTTTTTCTACCTATTACTTATTCTTATTAAAATTAGATTGGATTACATTTAATCAGATCAGATCAGACTAAATCGGACCCAAGCAGATGCGACTAGACCAGATCTGATTAAGTCGAATCAAATCAGATCTAAACAAAATTATTAATATTATTAGTACTATTGTTATTAATATTATTATAATTATTATTACTATTTTTATTATTATTAATATCTTTAATAGATATTTTTATCATTCAAAAAAATGAGAAAAAGTCCGAATGGGAAGGTTTTTTCCGGACGGAGGGAGTATTTTTATTATGATTATTATTATTATTATTATTACTATTATTCTTATTATTATTTCTATTATTATTACTATTATCATTAGTAGTTGTTTTATTATCATTACTATTATTATAAAAATAATAATAATAATTTTAATTTTAATTGAATCTATCAAAAATTCTATCATCATATCAAATCTAATCAGATCATCAGATTCTATCATATCAAAAAATTTAAAAAATCAGATCAGATGAGGCAAACGGGAACGCAAGGACTACAAGTGAATGAGACTATGAGAGGACATGCAGATATATGAGATAGACTTAGACCACTTGAAGTGCTACGCATGCACAATTATGTACCACGTTTAATAACGTATTGCCTTTTTAATTTCGCATGACCAATACATTCTAATTAAACGTCTACGTGGCAGGGGGGAGCTTTGTTACGTTGAAGTCCACGTGAATGGGAGCCCTACATGTTTTGTTTCTGGCATTTGGGATATGCCGCACCAATTCCCTGCAGACAAACCCCACAACCAATATATAATCGATCATAGCTATTAGCTAATTATATGCTGGAATTATTTTATTTATAATTCATACGGAGTACGTACGTGTATATCTTGAAATCCATAGTTCTTGCTTCAAAATATGCGTTATATTCCCAAAAATCTCATATTGTTCGTAACACCAATTTTTCATACATAAGAATTTTTAGAAATAAATTCAGTCAAATATAGTAGTGAGTAGATTTTAAAGGCGTACTTTTTTGTATTGGAAGAACTCATGGGACAAGCATATCATAATGAGTATATATATATAAAATAAAAGAAAAATGGTTGGAGTTGGGTGGTGCGTGGTTTGTTGTGGTCGTACATGCAGCTAGCTTCATTACTTTGAGAAGGTGCGTCATATTTCCCCGAAGCTTCGTTTACATATTACGGAGAGTAGCTAGCTAGACACGTCCACGTGAATCTTTATTTGCTTGCTTAGTAAACAATCTTCACAATGCAACTGGCATTTGCATGTTACCACAATATTCCTCTTTGATGAGAATTTTAATTTCCAAATCCAAAGCTACTATATATATGTGTAGGGAGGAAGCTAGCTAGGCAGAGTATCATCATCAAATCATCAATACCAACTCCCATCCAACAATACTTCAAAGCTCGATCTGATATTCATTCCATATACTTTTACTCAACTCATCTACAATGGGGATAATGATCATGAAGAGACTTGCTGGGATTTCCGAAGCAAAGAAGAAGCTCGCAAGGACGCTCTCTCCCAGCAAGAAAGGAAGCATTAGGGCGACGAAAGACGACAAAGTCGCCGTTCCGAAGGGCCACTTTCCGGTATACGTCGGGGAGGCGAGGCGGCGGTTCGTGGTTCCGATAGAGTACTTGGAGCATGCACTGTTCCGGGATCTGTTGGACTGGGCGGAGCAGGAGTTTGGGTACGAGCACCCTACCGGGGGACTCACTATCCCATGCACTGAGGACTACTTCTTGAGCCTCACAAACCTCCTCATCGACTCCAAATAAAGATTCATAGATAATTAGATAGACAGATAGATAGCTAGCTAGAGGTAGAACGAAGGATGTATTATTGTCTACTCACAACGCCGGCGTTGTAATATATATGATTTATGGATATACACATTTGATGAACATTATTTTTAACATGCATGCGTTAAAATTGAGAAGAAAAAAATCAAGATTTTTGAATGATCCGTTTACATAGTATGTGATGGATATAAACTCAAACGTTGACTCGGTCAGCGATTGGTGAGTAGCTTAGGATGTGTGTATAGAGAGAGGCATTTGTACGTCTTTCTCGTGGATTATTCAATGTGAAATTTGCAGGGCTAAAATATAATCACTTTCCTAATGTAGTACTTAAACTTTTTTATTATCTAAATAGGACTTAATAATGACCTTGTGGGAGGAATAATGTCCCGTAATGATGAATATTTACTTGAATAATGACTACTTGATAATGATCAAAAGTCCTACATTGAAAAATAAAAACATATGGTCCTAGATTGGGAAAGTCATTATGTTTTAATCCTATTTAAGTAAATTTCACTTATTCAATTCATGGATATAGTTCGGGTCATGGCCTCTAAGAGGTCTAAACATGGCCACGTCGGTGTTCACCTTGCATGGATAATTATTAAGTGAAATTTGGATCAAATCATAAACCCGGCATGGGTAATAAGTTGAGCAATTCAATGAAATTTGGTAAGCCAAAAATAGCGTGACGGGAGACTAGGGTTGTAAATGAATCGAATACTTTTTATTCGATTTGTGATTCGTATTCGTATGAGGTGATTTGCATTCGATTTTTTCAAATCCGAATACAAATACGAATCTGAATAAATATTCGAATGGTTATAAAATATTTTAAAATTTAAACGAACCAAATATTTTTAAACGAATCGAATTTTTAAACGAACCAAATTTGTTTAATATATTAAACAAACCGAATATGAATCTTAAAAAATATTCGAACCGAATTCGAATTCGAATATCGCTTCATCTTAACGAATATATTAGGAAGTATAATTAAATTAGGATACTTCTTTCCTTTCCTACTAGGATTATTCTTTCCTTTCCTACTTGTACTTTGATTACTCTTGTATTCCCTATATATAGGGTCATATCTCTCAATATTCAATAAGATAAGTTATTATCAAATTGTATCATGGTATCGGAGCTAAGGCTCTCAAAAACCCAGCCTCTCTTTTTTTCCGACCGCTGCCCACCATGGCAGCCCCGTCGGATCCTTTGGCGTCCTTACCCTCCGGAGTAAAACTTTTGCTTCGGAGTCTCCACAACTTAATCCCAGAAAAACTCACCGAAACAAATTATCCGGCTTGGTCTCTCAATGTCCAGACAGCTCTTTCAGCTAATCTCCTCCTTGGATGGATTGATGGTCATGAAGCAGCCCCGGCGCCAACTATCTCCAAAAATGATAAAACCGTCCCTAATCCAGAGTATACCTCCTGGACCATCGTTGACACACAGATCTGCGCCTGCCTCCTAGCGGTCATCAGCCCCTCCGTTCACAAACATGCTCGCGGCTTCACCACATCTGCTGCCCTCTGGGATGCTTTGGCCGCACGGTACAACTTCGTGTCCACCGCTCATGTTTATTAGCTTCGGGACAAACTCCACACTCTTCGTAAAGGTACCAAAACTATGACACAATACCTTGATGATGTGGCAACTATTCTCTCGGATCTCGATGCCTTGAAAGAAGAGATCCCTGAACGTGATGTGGTGAATGCTGTTATTCGTGGTCTTCCCACCGAATACTCATCCTTTAAGCAAAACATTCGCATGAACAATACCAATATTTCGTTAAATCAGCTTTCTGGATGGCTGATCTCCGAAGAAATAAACCTGGAGATGGAGAATAAACTCAGCCTCACCGAGTCTACCATCACCGAACCTCGCACAGCACTTCTCGCTACGAACGGTCGAGGTCGCGGTAGAGGAGGCTACCGCGGTCGACCGTCACCTGGACGTGGATACAACA